TCATTTATTCTTTGTGCTGTATTCGAATAATTCTATGAAATTCGCTTAACAGGCTTGTCCTTTTTCTCCTGTTATAAGGAGACTTAGGGATGAAACACAGACAGCAAAATCTACATATTCCCTTTCACACACATGTCCTTACCTTTGTCACAAAATATCCACCTATATAAATATCTTTTCTTTTGGGTCCTTCTATCAGTGGTCACTACTAGTCGCTACAGTTACCAGTTAATCATTACCTCTCTTTCCATCAACTTCTTTCAAAAAACCCAATTCTAATTCCTCCCATTCAACGTCCCACATACACATACAATTTTTAGTCATTCTTCCATCAACAATTTCATTTAATTACATTTAGTATGCTTCATTCTGTCCTATTTCATCTGCAAAAGCAGCGATTTACAATTCGACCGTTCTACCGAAGCCATGTTATATGGGTGTGAGACGTGGAATACCACGCTTGCTGAAAAACGGAAATTGGCATTCTCTCAAAGAGCAACAGGACGGCGGTGATTGGCCCCAATAGGCTGCAGCACATTCTAAATGAAGTGCTCCGAGCTAGATCTGGCATGAAAGATATTGCTGAAGCAATGTACGCCAGCAAGAAGGGATGGGCTGGTCATGTGGCAAGGATGACAGATAATAGATGGACGAAGCGGATAATGGAATGGGATCCACACACAGTCAAAAGAACATTGAGGAGGCCACCAGTGTGAGGTGGAGAGACCCCATGGTATGCCTGTACGGTGCTACATGGTCTCGAAGAGCGCAGCAACGAGTTGAATGGAGAAATTGCCAGCTACATCGATGGCATGATAACGAACGTCGATGACATACAGCTGCTCAAGTATTCAAGTATGGGAAGACAGTGATTAAGGGGCAGAGAAATGCATTTTTCTGCTGTGTACAGTGGTGAAAGCCAAAGGTTCGAATTCACCAAAGTGGAGCAACCTATTCCTCTATGATTCGTGATGGTATCAAAGCAACCGGCATATGCCAGAGAGTCAAAACCACCATTAGCTTGCCTAGAACCTTCAAAAGAAGCAGCTATCGAGAGCCTTGCCAGCGGGAGATTGCTATTTTGCACAACTGGTATTAGGAAATATTTATGAGATTATTATTAGTGAAAATTAGAAAATTTCTGAAATTATTACTAGTCAAAATTAGAAAAAATTGGCAAGATTATTACTAGCGAAAATTAGAAAAAATTTGTGAGATGATTACTAATGAAAATTAGGAAAAATTTGTGAGATTATTGTTAGTGAAAATTAGAAAATTTGTGAGATTATTATAATGATTAGTTGTCATTTCATCACAATGCACCTTTCTATCATTAATACCACTATATATTAACAGATGCTGTGACCGATTCTGCATTAGCTGATGCTGGCATTTTTTTGCATTTGCTGTTTTTTTCCTTCACAGCGCCAAGGGAGAATGCTGGCTATTTTGCTTCTTTACTGCATCTATGTAATCTTTTAATTCATCGGCGCTAGCGATTCTTATGCACTTCATAACTATCACAATTTAAGGTTAAAGAAAAAATATGAGAAAAAATTATGGAAAACATGAAAAGAATTATTAAAGTAGGTAAGAAATGTTTCGGTCCATTAATTCATTGCATGCATTGCACTGGCCTTTTTGCTGTTTTAGCTGTAACTGCACCTGCGGATCGAACTATGCTGAGGATTGAGAATGCGTTGCATACGGATATGCACAATCCGTTCCTGTATTCTGTGATATTACGAGCCAGTCAAGTGGATACCTCTTTTCCGCAAATATTTTTGCATGAACTTACAAAGGATTCAACGGGGTAATTTTTTTTTAAGATTACGTTACTTTAGAGAAGGAATTTTATGTCTTTTGGTTGCTTCATGTGTTTAAATCTTTGGAAATCCAGCGCCATTTTTCTGATTGAATGAAGCCATAGGCGATGAAGGTTATGCTGATTGAAGTACCACTGTGAAATACCTCGCCAAGGAACTTATTTTCATACCAATCAGATCTTTGGAACTTATTTTCATACTATTCATACTAATCGACCACAGGCACTTACACTTCCCGTACAGGGCCCAGAGAAAAAAACGGCAATGCAAGGAACGATTTCGTGAACAAAACAAGATTGAAAGCTGAAGCTTTGCAGTGATATTCTTAGTCGATAAGGTGCCATATTATCGTAGCCTAGAATTGGCAACATTCGGAACGATGAAGCGATTCTCCAACGACATCTCGGAATGTTTCTGTCGGAATCTTTCTAGCGGAAGAGCCGCCGAAATTGTAATCCCTTCAGGAGACGAAACGAAGATAAAATCAGCGAGCTGACCATCATGCGATCGGAAAAGTTGCCAGCTGAAAAAACTCAAGGAGCCGTGTGGAGTATCGGACTTTTTGCTACTTCAGCAAGCTGCTAATGAATTTATTTCATCTTCGTCACATCAGATTTTTGAAGCAACTCCTGAAACTGAGCTGTGCTCGACCACGCACTATGCTCTCACTTTTGGGTTCGAATTCAAGCTACGGGGTAATAAAATGCGGCAGTTAGAAGGCTCGGGTAGCAATATTAAAAAAAAATGGACGGTGCAAAGAAATCAAAATTTGGGACAGCCGGAGTCAGAAAGTTAAAACGAAGGGTGGGATAAGTTTGTTAAAGTGATTTGCGGGTGTTGGCAGGCCGAGCCGTAGTTTTGAAAAAAAGCGGACGGTCCGAAACATGAAAACTGTGGAACGGCCACAGTTCGAAAATTTTAATTTAGGGTGAAGTTGGCTCTTGTTTTGCCTGGATAAAATTCTAGGTGGCTTATTCAAGAAAGTATTTTCTTCTTGCTGTCTTTCAACAAACATTTCGATAAATCTCGAGGGATCCCTTGAATCTTAAGAAAAGTGAAGTTTTTACGATGAAATTTCAGCGTGATCAAGTTGACTTTCTCCAACGAGATGTCGATTGTTCGATCCCTGATTAATCAGCTGGTATATCTTCGAGTTAGCCGTGGACGTCGCCTGAAGATTTTGCTGCCGCAAAGTAAGTTATCTTTTTCAAAATTCATTTTTCATCTTTGTTTATCAAAAGCTTAAAAAACTCGCTCTACATTAAAGCCTTTACAAGAGATCGAGGCATTTGAAGCACATTAAAAATAATATTTACTTTCAGTTGTCCTGCTCTTTAGGTGGCATTTAAAAAAAAAAGAAAAAACTGAGGGTATTTCTGGTTTTTCGACCTACATCATACACCAATTTACCATCAAAACGAATCAACTCGTTCAAACGATTGACTGAAGCTTAAAAATGAAATAGAGTAAAAAAATAGGGTGTATATTAACAGCGGATGAAAGATGACGAAGAGTAGAAAAGGTAGAAAATGAGATTTGCAAAATTTGTAAATTAATAAGAATTAATTTAATGATAAGAAATGTTTTTTTCGTTT